TCTTGCACAACAGATGAGCAACAGCTGGGCATTTACTGCTCTCTAAACTGGCTGTTTGGAAGGGCCCTTGAACTGTATCAAAGCAGAAGTCCCGTTGATACCCAGCATGTGGCATGGCTTTGTGCTGTTGAGCTTATGTGTTCAAAGTTTGAGTCCAAAATGTATAGTTGGTTCTGTGCCAGAATAGTTGGTTCTGGCTGTTGGACGAGCATAAATTTGTATCATACGGCAAGCCTGTCTCTCTCCCTACAGGCCGGAACTGCGAGAACGTGCTGGCCCCTTGTTTCCCCAATCCCTGTGAGAATAATGGTGTCTGAGACCACCAACCTGATTCTTCCATATCATGGAGCAACCCTACATTCTTGTTTGACGTTTTAGTATTGTTATAATGGTGCTAGTTTTTGTGCATCATTTATATCAGTAAGGCCTCAAATTATTCATGCTGTCTGGACTGGCACTGGATGTTCTTTCCCTCTTCCATATCATGGAGCAACCCTACATTCTTGTTTGACGTTTTAGTATTGTTATAATGGTGCTAGTTTTTGTGCATCATTTATATCAGTAAGGCCTCAAATTATTCATGCTGTCTGGACTGGCACTGGATGGAATTGTGGCACAGAAATTGCAGAACTAAAATTTAAAAATGTAATATTTTTTTCTTAACTCCTATAGGGCAGCGATGCCACAAAGACATTAATGAGTGTGACCAGAACCCCTGTCGAAACCGGGGCACATGCACCAACACGCTGGGCAGCTACAGATGTGCATGCCGACCTGGCTACACTGGCACCAACTGCGAGACAGATATTGACGACTGCACACCGAGTAAGTTCATCGAGGAACCAGAGAGGAAATGGGACTGAGAACGGGTGGAGCCATTGCTGACTGTTTTGCTAAGACTACATTACAAGGAAGACTGGGTAGAAGATCAGTAGGGAGTGTTTTGCCAAAATTAAAGGGATGGGAAATCCGGTAAAGAGTTGGGCAAGAAGTTTAGAAAGGTTACAGGTTGCCTGACTTTCCAAGATGGGCTCCAAGTCTATTAATCACGCAAAAGGTTATGTTTTCTTCTGGTCTGTGCCTTGGTTGCTCATACTTGAATGATCTATAATTCAAATTATAACAAAAATTAAATGGCTGCAAACCAGAGTTTGGGCAGATGTCCTTATTTTGTAACCATGTTTGGATTTTTATTTTGGCTATGACTGGTATGGATGTGAGATTTGTTGAGAGAGTGCAATCAAGAATAAGTTAGGACTTAAATATTTAAATGTTACATCCTGTTAATTCCAAAGAAATTTAGGAACGCCTTACTTTTTCTGTTCTGTAACCATTGCTTATGTGATTTCAGTAGTTTTGTCTCCACCCTCGATTACCAGAGTCTCTTTGATTATTTGTGTAATTTTGCACATGTAGCATTGCCAAAGACAAAGAACTTGTCTTGTTCATGTTAGGAGCTGCTGGTAGATGGCTTACCCAGACCTTTCTTTTTTAAAAAATATCTATATATATGCCCTTCTCTGCCAACAGATCCTTGTTTGAATGGTGGCTCCTGCCAGGATGGCATCAGCTCCTTCAAATGCACCTGCCTGCCAGGCTTTACAGGCCTCCACTGCGCCACAGAGATCAATGAGTGCCTAAGCAGCCCCTGCCACAACGAGGGCACCTGCACAGATTATGTCAACAGCTACACTTGCACTTGTGCACCAGGCTGGGCTGGCTTACACTGTGAGCACAATGTGCAGGACTGCACTGACAGGTGAGCTGATCTATTTGTTTAAAACATTTCCATGCATTCCAAACATTTCCTTTTTGCTCAGTTCAGGGTCCCCAAGATGGCGAGCATTAAAACATTTTAGAAATTAAAAAGCACTTAAAATAGAACTAGGTATAACAAATAAAACATAATATAAACACATAAAGACACCCAAATGGAGGAGGGCTAGTAAGAGAATGCCAAACAAAACAAAAAAATCTTCACCTGCTGGCAGAAGACAATGATAGAGGGACACAGGTGAATCTCCCAGGGCAGCTCCAGCATTTCGGTGCCATGACCGAGAAGCCCCTTTCTCAGGATGCCACCCATCTAGCCTCAAGTGGTGGTGGCACCTGAAGCAGGGCCTCTGAGGATGACCAGGACAGTCGGGGTAGGTTCATGTAGGAGGAGGCGGTCCTAAGCACACTGCAAGCACAGTGTGGGAAAGGGGCTGGTTTTGTATCTGCCAGGTTGCTTAGCAGGCCCAACTTGCAGAATGGCCAATCATATGGACAAAGCCCCAAAGTGCTATGTAGGGGTTATGTTGCACTGTTCTCATGCTTTGACTATTTGTGCGCATGCCCCACTCTCTCTTTTAAGGGGTATAGGGTTTAATGAAGTCATGTGAAGACAGAGGAGAGAACTCTGCGAAAAATGGAATTAGGGGATGTAGACACTGTGGCAAGAGGTGGAGTAGGCCCCATTGTAGTAATATACATATAAAGAAATGGTTCCAGACCATATAGAGACCTCTTTTAAAACAACAACAACCTGTACTTCTGTCATTTCCTCTTTTTTAATGCCTCTTTTAGTAAAAACAGCACAAGATAGCTACATTGAATTAAGAATGGACAGATCAAAAGTTCCACTGGCTTGTCAATTTCAGCCAAACAGTCCAATTGGAAATAATGCCCCAGTGTTAAGCAAGGAGAGGGATTAGCCACTGGGGTGAGAGATCACTGTGGCAATCTGTAGAGTTTCAGGAGGTGTGTGTGTGTGTGTTAAGGGGCTCTTCCAACAGTTGCTGCTTTCAGATCAAGACTTCCCTAAGGTAGTTCTTAGTGAAAGCTGCTACATAGCATTGTTCAGACAAACACTGGCTAGAGGGGTGTCAGGAACGGTGCTCGGGGTCGGGCTAGATGGCGGGAGGGCCCCGGGAATTGCGAGGTTTCAGCAGACGTGGCCTCAGATTTGGGAGAGCCCTCCGTTCTTTGCACTCAGTCTGGAGGTTTGGGGCACAGTGTTGTACCATGGCTGTCACCCACATGCACATCCGTTCTGATTCTATCCTCCCTGGCCGCGCCCTGCTTCCTCCTCTTTATTCCCCCTAGCCCCCACTCCAGCCTATAGCAAGAACGGCCATGGGTCCTGTGGGCTTCCCTCCCCAGGAATCCATCCCATGTGTCACTGATCAACCCTGTAATGTCGACCTCCTCGGACCCCGCCATTCCGCCCTCCTTGGATTGCAGGTGTGCCTCTCTGGCCAGGTCGCAGGAACACCTGGCCCTCCGCGGGACATCTGAGGGGTTCTCTTCTTGTTCCTTTCCCGACTCCCGCCTGATCTGGGTTTGAGGCATCTGGGCACTGCTCACGCGCTTGCCCTAGGGTTCCATCTTCCTGGGGCCTCTTTGTCTTTCTGGCCCTGCCAGAAGCCTTGTCGGTCGAGACCGCAGTTGTTTGCATCGTCGAAAGGACCGTTTCCCGACAAGGGAATGACCTAACCCATGCTAGATGAAGGCCCATAGCCAGGAATGGGGGGAGGCACTGGGGAGGGGTTCTGCGGCACCACTATTTATTTTCACTTCCTTCTCTAGGAGCCCAGGAACAGCCCTAGCTACAGAATACCAGGCTCCCATCTATCTCTCCCCTCACATCTTGGATCCCAGTCTAATCCAGATTCCACCCTGGTTTTGCTTTCCTAAAGTGAAACTTGCTTCTGATCCCCAAGCCCCTCTTTTTTCACTCAAGTCCCTGCTTCAGCCACAAAACCAAGGGAACCAAGGAGTCTCGACTCCAGCCTCCTTCCTGGCCCCGCTGTCTGAGACCCGCCTGATGAAGAGGACCCAGGCGTCCTGGCTCCATCCCCCCTCCCCTCTGCCCCTTTCTTCCCTCCCCACCTGTGGCTTCGGGTCACTCCCTTTCACCATGCACATCGCTGGCCAGCTCTCCCCATCTTGGCGTGCCCTGGGCCTGGCTGTGCGACCTGGGCCAGGGCGCCTCCAACGTGGCTCCGCTTTAAGGCTCTGACAGTGGAAGCTTCACCATCATGCCCTGCCCTGCCTGGCCCTGCCCGCCACTTGGCTTTGCCCAACCTTGCCTTCTTGCCTCACCTTGTCCTGCCCTGGAGGTGGCCATCAGGTTGATTCCCGGGCTGCGCTGGAGAGGCTGGAGTTAGTTCCCCCTCTGCAGGCCGGGCAACGGCTGTGATCTCTGTCAGTCACCACCAAAAGGCAGGGGAAGCCGGCTTGGGACAGCCCCTCACCCAGTGGAGGAGGCAGGAGGCGGAGGGTGAGCCCAGCCAGAGCTCCATCTGCATCAGTCCTGGTTTGCTTCCTCCGGGCTTGTCACAGTCCAGATGTTGCGGGAGCTGAGCAGCTACAGTGCCTTTGATCCAGCCTTGGTGGGGCTCCGCCTTGCTTGCTGGGGGGTGTGTGTCCGCCCCTAAAGCCTCACCGCTGGCTACAGCCCTGGGCCAAGTCTAGATAGCTTCCTTGTTTGCTTGACTTCTGAGTCTTTTGCCTCATGTCTTGGCAGCTCCTGCTTCAATGGTGGCACATGCAAGGATGGCGTGAATTCATACACGTGCCACTGCCGTGCTGGCTTCATGGGCTCCCACTGCCAGCATGAGATCAATGAATGCCAGTCTCAGCCTTGCCTCAATGGTGGTGTGTGCCAGGATGGTGTGCAGTCCTATCGCTGTGTCTGCCCTCAAGGCTACACAGGTCCTCAGTGCCAGGTAACTGTACCAAGCTTCACGGGAAGGGGATGCAGGGTATTTGGAATTCCAGGGTCTTTCTTGTCGAAGTTAAAATGTCTGCAACTGACCCTGATCTCATTGGGTTGGATGGGCTGTGGTCCTACTTTGGAGGGGGGGGGGCATGAGAGACATAGCACAGAAGCCTGCAGTGGAGATGGAGTGGGAAGGGGGGCCTGAGTGGCAGGAACAGGGTGCTTCTTCTACTGTGGGTTCTGCCCCTGACGCTCTTGCCTTCTCCTGACCTCCCCAGACTCTGCTGGATCTGTGCAGTCACTCCCCCTGTCAGAATGGAGGCCGCTGTATACAGAGAGGCACCACATTGTCTTGCGACTGCCCAGGGGGCTGGACTGGTCGTTACTGTGACATCCCCAATGTTTCGTGCGAAGTGGTGGCCAGAAACAGAGGTAAGGAAGGCCTTTCTGCTCCTGGGCTCGTAAAACCAAAGCCCTGCTTCCCATGCAAGGAAGCACACAAGGTCTCTTATATGTGACACTCGCCACCTTTCCTTGGTTTGCCTGAGTGCACGGTCTCCTCCTTCCCCCTCCACCATCACCAGTTTGCACTCTCCTGTAGAGCTGAGCAGGATAGAAAGCAACACTGTGCCTTCAGTGAGGCTAGAGCAATGTTCTTGGGTCTTGAGGGCTCTAATCATACTCCAGACAGCTGTTTCCAGGGAATTCAAAGGCTAAAAACACGCAACAGGTGACATTACATGGGCTTCCTTGCTGATGGCAGAATAAAAGATGCAAAGATTGTTTGGTTCTCTGTGATATTCATTATCAGCAGAAGCATCAGTGTTTCTCATAATCATGCAGGTAGTCTGTCCTGTATTTAAAGTGTTGTGATTATAGAGGTGACGGAGAGAGAATAGGAGCTTGGCAGAAAAACGTAATGTTCTGGTTTTCCTAGTCCTACTGTTGTGTTAGAGCAGCGGTTCTCAACCTGTGGGTCAAACGACCCTTTCACAGGGGTCGCCTAAGACCATCGGAAAACACAAATTTTCGATGGTCTTATGATAGCAACGAAAATAATTTATGTATTAAAGGGTCGCAGCATTAGGAAGGTTGAGAACCACTGTGTTAGAGCATGTAGTGCAGTCTTTTCACTTTTTAAACTTTCTGCACCATGAAGAGTAGAAATATGCTCTGCTAACCAAAATGAAAACTGGCATCTGACTTTCGTGTAGATGTCTTGCTCCACCTTGGCTTCTTTTCTGCAATTCTACTTGTGAGACTATCATGACATTGTCATGACATTGTCCTTTCATGCTACAGTCTTCCCCAGATTTCATTTGGTATGATCTTTTTGGAAAGATCATGGTCAAAGCACCTTTGGATGCAGTGAAGATGGGAAGGTGTGCATTTTTGCATATCCAGCTCACATCAGCACCATTGTTCTTACCTTAGCGCTAATAGCCGCCTTCCCTACCCCCTCACACAGCAGAAGGCTTCTTTTGGGCTTTAAATAAAACAGTAATTGGATAGTTCAGTATAGGGCAATAACGTTATAATGATCTGTTGCAACAATGTTCTAGTTCCCAGCTTTCATTTAAAAAAAAGAAGTAGCCCTTTTTCTTGAAGAGTTATAAAGGGAATTGTGCAGGCTGTACATTTCTCCTTTGCAACAAAAGACTTAAAATGAAAGCTGGGAAGTCATTGTTATCCAATGATCATTATAACATTATTGTACTGTAGCTGTCTGTCAGTTGCCATTTTTTTTTAAAAAAAGGCCCCCCTCTCCAGTGGCAAGAACTTAAAATGAAAGCTGGGAAGTCATTGTTTCCAATGATCATTATAACATTATTGTATTGTAGCTGTCTGTCAGTTGCCATTTAAAAAAAAAAAAAGGCCCCCCTCTCCAGTGGCAAGAGATGGAAAATGGAATGGCAATCACGGGCCTGAGGCAAGGAAGGTTTGGGAAAGACTACAATATGGATGTTCCATTGCCATTACAAATGCTTCTGAATTCACAGCAACAACAAGAATCATCTCTAGGTGGAAGCCTTGGAAACATTTATTGAAGAAAATGTTTCTTTTTGTTTGAATTTGGATGGGGAATTACATGCAGTAGAGAGAACAAAGTATTTGCGGCAAGAAACTGGGTATCTTTCCCTGCACCTTACTATACTGCTTCATTTGTTTCTTCCCATCCTGTTCTTAGTGACATATTCCATTCCTTCTATGGAAGAAAAGTGTGTTTGGACGTGCCATGTGTAATTCTCTTTTCCCTGCACCTTACTATACTGCTTCATTTGTTCCCATCCTGTTCTTAGTGACCTATTCCATTCCTTCTATGGAAGAAAAGTATGGTTGGACGTGCCATGTGTAATTCTCTTTTTTGTGGGATAGGTGTGACCAAGGAGCAGGTGTGTCATTATGGTGGCCGTTGTGTGGATGCTGGTAATACTCACTACTGCATCTGCAAGAAAAGCTACACAGGAAGCTACTGTGAGAGTGAAGTTAACCACTGCCAATACAGTCTATGTCGGAATGGGGGCACCTGTCGCAGTTTTGTTGGAGGCTATGTTTGTGAGGTAAGGAAGGCCTCATGGGATTGTAGCAGGCCAGGGCTCCTGGCTTTTTGTCAAAGTGCTGGGAAGGGGTAGTGAGGTGCAGTGGTCCTGTTTTGCTATTATAATTCTTCCAACTTGCAGGCTGGCTGGTGGAAAATGGTACAATGGGGTGGAAAGTTTAAAATGGGCACAATTTCGTTTCTCAGTTTTTTTCAGTAATATACCTAGCTGGCTTTGCTTCTTTTTTGTGTACTAACTGGCAGACTCCGAAAACCTGGTTGCCATGCTCTGGTCTGTTGGCCAAAGGAGGTGCAGCTAGAAGTGGGTTCAGAAATCTGATGTTGTTCAATCCAGGGTCAGGGCTCCAGAGATCAAGCAGTGTTGTTCAGTCCAGGGTCAGAGGATCAGAGATTAAGCAGAGCAAAGTCATTCAGTCCGGAGTCAGAGGATCAGAGATTAACCAGGCAAGGCAGTGGCAGCAGGTCAGCATATAGTGTATGCGTTGTGTCCATGCCCAGTAGCCTTCCTTGGGCAGCTTTATAGCCAAATGTTTAATTGTCAGTTGTCGAGCCAAGTCCTGCAACAACTCATCATTATCAGCAAGCAGCTGATGTAGGGCCAGGAGATGTGCACTTTGCCATCTCATCTGTAGCTCCATTCTCAGCCTCCCATCTACAGCACTCTAAGGGTGTAGGAAATACCAGAGGGCTGGGAACAGCGAACTGACTTTCATCTGCTGAGCTGGGGCTGGAGGGTGGTGATGGCTCTGCAACAGTTGTTGGCTGTGAATCCTTCTTGCTGGTCGGCTTCTGTTGACTTGGGACTGGTTACACAGGGCTGCTCTTCTTCTGACAAGTCCTCAGTATCACTGAGCCCTGGCTGACCCACAACACCTTGAGTCTCTTATTTCGACTATGGATTATAGTTTGTTTTTCCATTCCTGAAGTTTTGCCTAAAATTTTTCTTTCATTTCGTGGAAGTATAGAATCATAGAATGTTAGAGTTGGAAGGGACCTTGCAGGTCATCTAGTCCAACCCCCTGCACTCTGCAGGAGCAGAGTATGAAAGTAATGAAAGTAATTTCATTTCCCCATTTTTTGTTAATATAACTATTTGGTTTTGCTTCTCTCACTGAGTCTCTTATTTCTGCTATGGGTTATAGCTTTCCACTAAAACTCATTGTACAATGTAGGTAACATCCCTTCAAACAGACATATATGGTTAGTTGAGCTTTTTAGATGTCCAAACCTAGAAGTTTTTGAGATTGTGATACATTTCTCAAATTCCCCTGAATTTCTGATAGAAAAGTTGTCCCTAATGTAGATACTAGTAAAAGGGGACTGCTGGCCACCTCCTTTCTCAGCAGATTCCAATGTTATCTATTATTCTGTCATCCTCTTTTGGCTTGTAAAAAGGTTTTTTAGTCTTAAAAAAAGAACAATGCATTAAGACAATAATAACTCTGTATCTCATGTTTGAAGGATCCAAGTCCAGTATACTCTTCCCTTCTTGTCCAGGGTAGTATTAAAGCAGTGGGACTGGTATTCATCTTTTCTTTGTGATTTCATTGCCAGACTGAACTGGTTCAGAATAACCAGCAACAGAAACACCTCCCAGATTTTTGTTCTTTTATACTGTATGTGCACTTCTTTTTAGATTTTCACTAATCCAAGTACATTTAAAGAACATGTTCTGCCTTTCTCGAATTCTGTGCCTGAATCTTAAGGAAGTGGATAATTAAACAAGTACAAAACACAAGCATGATACTAATTTTTTTGCTAGGGATACTTACTAGCTATATACAACAGTTCTGATGTTGTAGTTCTGATTTACTCTTTTTACCTTATATCCTGAAATCATACTATAAGCTGTGATTATATGAAGTAATCTTTCTGTAGATTTTAATGGACTGACGACAAAAATCATGAAGTCATCTATATAATGGATTGTTTTGATATTCTTCTTTATTTGAATCCCCTTTTACTCAAAAATGGTCTTCTAGATCTAGCCAGAAATTCTGTTAACTGCAAAAAATAAAAGTAGTACTTACGGGCAGCTCCATTTTGTAGTCACAACAAGTTCTTCCTATTTTAATCAACTCTTCTCACTTCTCACCAAAGGGGAATACATGTTTTTAAAGTCTGCTAAAATTAAAGAAATCAGCCCCCCAGTCAAAAATAAATTAATGCTTTCTCTATGGAATCCGATATTTTCATTTCCTTTATAAAGTTATAAAGTTAGGCTGATTTATATGGGAGTATTTTAGTATGATTTGATTTTAACACAAATAAGCAGTCTTGATTTATTAAAAAGAACAGGCTGATAAGATGTGAAGGATCCTTCTTTACCTTATGAGTTAGGGTTATTTTTTACCTGTTTATGTTTTTTGAACAAAGATTGTAATTTTAATGGATTCTTTCCATAGACCTGAGTTCGGAGCCCTACTTGTCCTTTCCACTTAATTTCAGGCTCTGTCTCTTTCTCTTTTACTCTAGTGCCCACTAGGCTTCGAAGGGAAAAACTGTGAATATGATATTGATGAGTGCCAGTCACACCCCTGCCAAAATGGAGGAACTTGCATCAACCTCATTGGCCGCTACATATGTTCTTGCCCTCCGGGGACTCTGGGTAAGTGCTAACTGGCACCTAAGCAAGGAGATCTCCGCTATGGGAAGTGTGTATTTTGTATTCCCTGTTTTAGGATGGTGCCAGAATAAGGGAAGCAGTTCTGGATTTGACTGATGCAGTTTTGAATGAAGGCATTCTTAAGCACTGAATGAGACAGTGGGAGATCTTTGGTCTGATGTTCTTAGAGTAGAGAGCTGGCATGGTTACAGAGTCAGATTAGGATTTGGGAGGCCCAGGTTCGAATCCCTACTCTGCCAAGGAAACTTGCTGGATGGCCTTGGACGCTTCATTCAATTTCAACCTAACCTAATTCACAGGGTGGTAGTTGCATGGATAAAACAGAGGAGGGAGTAGCAATGTTTTAAGCTCCTTTGGTTCTCTGGTAAAGAGAAAGGGTATAGATGTCTAAATAAATAAAAACAATTTTCAAGTCCAGTAGCACCTGCAAGGGCCCCTGATTTGGATTGGAGGTGTGGCTTGGGCTGAGAAGGGTTAGCCCCGGTATTATCAGTCAAAACAAGCCCCTCCTCCTGCTGTTGTTTCCATTGGAAGGGAGGAAGAATTCCAGACATCTTCTCTTTGCTTGTCTTTCGTCCCTTGCAAGGCTAATAGTCTTTGTTGGAGTGGATGTGGGTGGTTGTTGGTTTTCACCTGCCAGACTGTGCAGGGATGAAAGCCTCCACTGCTACTCCAGTCAGAATTGGCGCTCTGCACTGTTACGAAAAACACTCTGGGAAGATCTGGTGACAGATTTCTTCCTAGTGTCTTTTCCAGTTAGGTCCTGCGTTGGCTTTCTTCTTGAGTTAACATGGTGAGGAACTCTGGGTCTCCCCGTAAGGCACAGGTTAGAGAAAAATGACCTTTCCCAGGGCAGCTCCTGAAGGAAGTCTCAGAATTAGTTCCTGTAAGGTAGGTAGCGGAAGGACAATCTGTAATTCTTGCATAAAGGATGGGGTTGGTTTGTTTTAATTTGTCTGTCTCTCCAGGGAAGCAGTTCACTGAAGGGGAGGGGGGGAATGTGGCTTGGGCTTCCTAGATTTTGGTGTTGATGGCTTTGTTGTCTTCCTAGGTGTCCTGTGTGAAATAAATGAGGATGATTGTGCTGTGAATCCTGGCAGCCGGGTCCCGAAATGCCTCAACAATGGGACATGCGTGGACAGAGTGGGTGGCTATGGATGCAGCTGCCCACCAGGCTTTACAGGCGAGCGCTGCGAAGGGGACATAAATGAGTGCCAGGCGAACCACTGCCACCCACGCAACACACTTGACTGTGTACAGGAAGCCAGTGATTACCAGTGCATTTGCAAGCCAGGTTACACGGGTGAGTGAGCGTATAAGGAAGACAGGGATGTGATATCTGCAGGATGCAGCAAAGATAGTGCAAGGTGGACCACAGTGGTGAGCATGGTAGGAGGAAATGTGTATGTTGGGCAAAATTGGTGGGTATGTAAATACTGTATAGGAATTCCCCTTAGGCTGTGGACATGCTTATTATTCTCTGTAATCTTTTAACAGATTTGGCTTAGTAAGCAGCTCCCAAAATGTTACATCTCATACCCAGGGTTTCGGGTTCTATACCCCTGAGGTTACGAGTCTTCTGTTAAGGGAGCCATGATAGAGTTAGGTTCTTGTTTCTCTAGAGCTGAATTGTTGCAGCAACAGACTGTGAATCATACCAGTGTGCCACCTATGACTTGGTTGCCTATAAAGCAAAAAACAACTTTGAGTGTGACCTGTTTTTCTAAGTATAATGGAAGGAGATGCACATACCTTTCTGCTTTCTAGATGCCATATGAATTGTCCCATGGCCTTTCAGGTTCCTCACACACTGCTGCTAGCATCTGTGGAACGGAGTTGTATTGTAAACCCCATAGTCTCTTTGATCTTTTGCAAATCCTGTGTAGCTGATTTGCTTTTCTACACAGTCCATCTCTTGTCATAATACTGGTCAAAAGCACCAAAATTATATTGCCGGACATCTCATTAATCAACTTGCACTGGCTGCATTGTGTTCTTTGTCCTGGGTGGGAATTCTGATTTTCTTGCTTATTTTTTATTCATATTTTGAAAAGAACGTAATTATTACAGTATTACAAAATTATTCACAGCTTCACTCCCCATCTGTTTTTATCTAGAATCCTGCTTAGTACATCCTACAGTTGTCCACAATATTCTTAAGGTCACACACGTGCATTACAGTTGCATGCTAGGGGAAGCCATGCTGCATATAACTAAATTCCATTGAAATATGTAGGTCAGGCAAGACTGTGTGGTTGCACAGCTAACTATGTTTGTGCAAGCCAGGCAAAAGAGTGGAGGATCTGTGCCCTTTTCCATGAATGTGTAAGTTAAGATGGGCTTCATGTGAGAAAAATGTGCAAGAGGGTAATGAATGTAGGACTGGGGCCTTGGCCATTATCTGAAGGGAGAGACTTGTCAGCTATTGGAGTTGGTACTAAGATACAATACCATGTGTATGGGGAGTAGAGTGCTTTGCCATGTCCTTCTTGAAGTGTATGTGAAGGGAGGGAGGATTTATTGACAACTCCTCCACCACTGATGTGCTGCATTTCTTCTCCACAGGCCGCCACTGCAAGAACATTGTGAATGTGTGTGAGTCTCAACCTTGCCAGAATGGTGGGCAGTGTAAACTGGCAGTCAATCTGCCTCTAGGATATACCTGTCATTGTCCCCCGGTAAGTCATGGAACACAGTTGTGCAAAACAAGAGATTCATGACAAAATGTACATGAGGCTAGATCAAGGTGATGATGACAGCAGTTGGGATGGTTGGTAGGGGACCCACATAGCCAATTTGTTGCAATGTTAATGATTGTCTGTGTCTGCTAGGAAGGCATTCTGACAATCAGATTTTGAGTGGAGCATCTATAACAGTGGTCTTCAGCCTCTTAGGATTGGAGATCCACTGAGCATGGGAACCATTGAGCAGCAAGCGTATAACAACAAGTAATGTGATAGTAAGAGGAAGTCACGTGATAGGAAGAGTTCCAAACTCACTAGTCTTAAGGCTAGTATCATGGGCAGTGATCAAGAGAGCTGGTTACAGGATACAGAAGCCAACTAGTAGGAGGTTTAACATATGAGGAACGAGCCAAGGGTCAGAGCCACGGACACATTCTCTCTACAATGTGACATTGTCTTACTGTCTTGCTGCTCTATGAGCATGTGGAGAAGGGTAAGAGGACTGGCTTCTTTGCTCTCTACACAACAGCTCCTTACAAAAAGGCGGCGGCAAAAAATGGTAGCTCTGTAAGAATGCTGATGAGCCTACAAGAAGAATCCTATCTGCCAGCACTGGGAACATACCAGTTCTCCTTTCTGAGGGCAAGAAAGGGGGACTAGGCCTTGTTGAGGAGAGAAGGGATTTCTGTTGCTAGGCCAGTAATGGAAGAAGTTTTTGAACTTAGTTGTCTTCGTGTTGTAACCCTCTGTGTTGTCCCTCCCCAGAGCTATTCAGGTATCAACTGTGAGCGCAGTGTACTCTCCTGCCGGGAATTCTTCTGCTTCAATAGTGGCAGCTGCCGGACCACACAGCTGGGTGCTCGCTGCTTCTGCCCACCTGGGTGGGCTGGCCCTGACTGCCGCCTCCGTGCCAACAGTAGCTGTGCTAGCTTCCCCTGCCACAATGGAGCTGCCTGCCACGATATTTCTAGGCCCCCTTACTTCCAGTGCATTTGCAGTGATGACTTCACTGGCTCCCGTTGCCAGGCTCCACGCCCGCCCCCTGAACCCCACTGCCCCCTGGAAGAATGTGCAGCAAGGGCTGGGGATTCCTACTGTGACAAAATGTGCAACACCCCAGCCTGTCACTGGGATGGGGGCGACTGTTCTTTGTTGGTTGATGACCCCTGGAAGCAATGCAAGATCCGTCAATGTTGGCAGTTCTTCAACAACAGCCAATGCGATGAGCTCTGCAACAGTGTCGAGTGCCTCTATGACAACTTTGACTGCAAGGCCCGTTATCGCACCTGCAAGTGAGTTTTTGCCCTGTACCTTGAGATGGGGAGGGCTCTAGTTGTGCATATGGTAGCTGATTATCTTGTTTAAAGGATTTTTTGGCCATCAAGTCAAGTTGACTTCTAGTGACCCCTAGTGGGGCTTAAAGGCATGGGACGTTCAGAGGCAGCTTGCCATCGCCTGCCTTTGCGTTACGACCCTGGTCTCCCACCCAGATACTAGCCAGGGCCAGCCCTACTTAGCTTCCAAGATCTAATGAGATCGGGCTTGCCTGGGCTATCCAGGTCAGGGCGTATCTGATGTATCTTAAATACAACATTACTGTTGAATGTTGGGTTTCAGCTTTGGTTAACAAAATGAGCGCTATACATACTATACAGGCACCATGCACAAACCCTGTAGCGCTTTATTTCCTACGGGGAAGAAACTGAGACCAGTGTGGTTTCTTCAGCCCACACACCCAGCCAGAAAATGGTTGCGTCTCTGGTGTTAGCTATGTGGAATATTTGTAGAATGAATCCCTTGCGGATCCAAACTGTCTCACAGACAATGCACAAGTGGACTGTATGGTGGGATAGCACAGGGTAGCTTTGGCAGGAGTGATACATTTCTGTCCTCTTCTTCTACAGCCCTGTTTATGAGAAATACTGTTCAGACCACTTTGCTGATGGGCGTTGTGACCAAGGCTGTAACAATGAAGAATGCGGCTGGGATGGGTTAGACTGTGCCAAAGAAGTGCCTGAGAACTTGGCTGACGGGGTGTTGGTTATCACTGTGCTGCTACATCCTGATCAGCTGCTGCGCACAAGCACCATCTTCCTGCAGAAGCTCAGTGCTATACTGAGAACCTCCTTGCGCTTCCGCCTCGATGAGAATGGCAACTACATGATCAAGCCGTATTACGGGTCAGGTGGCCGACATCGCCGGGAACTGGAGCGAGAGATTATCGGGTAAAACAGTTGAGCCAAAGGTTAAGGACATGTTTTTGAGAGGTGACCAAACAAGCTGCTGTGGTCTTCTCTAGGCTCAAAGAGCAATGAAGAGGGTTTGTGTAGGGTTCTCAGCGACAAGGCGAGGCAGCTGGGCTTGGAGGTCGACCGACATTATTTTCAGTTGCCTTCACAAAGAAAGATACCTATGGAAGTGTAGAATTGAGCTGTTTATTTGACATTCCTGAGAAAATACCAGAGATCAAAAGTGACCACAGAAGTGGTTCTAGAATTAAGTAAGGGGCTATGCAGAGAGAAAGTGCCTCAGTGGGACAAATTCTCAGAGAACCTTGGTAAGATATTGTCCAGGGACTGTGTGATGGCCTCCGTAGTCAGAATACTGGAGGGCTGTGAAAGGTGCTCCATTTTAAAAAAAGAAGATGAGGAAGAAGAAGAAAACCAAGTTCCTGAGATCAGTAGAGGCTGAAAAGCCTGAAATCAAAGCCAAGCCACTGGATTGTGAGCATAGTTTAAAAAATCGGGATACCTGTAATAAGTTAAGAAAGCCTTAGCATCCTTTTTGTAAAGGGAAATCATGCATCAGAAATACAATGGAACTCTTAAAGCTGTAGATGAATCCGGGACAAGTAATCTTCTTTATGATGTGTTTTTTAAGAGATGCCTTTGACAGTCTTTCAGAATGTCTACTAAATATCAAAGTAAAAAGCCAGCCTCTGTGAAGTGGGGATTGAATGGGAAATGCTGATTTTGTAGAGGTGGCTAACCACCCCTGCCTTCCCTAGAGTCCTGCGTGAAGACCAGAAGGGAGATTTAGTGCTATGTAACATTTCTCTCCCCCCTGCCAGGTCTGTGGTTACTTTGGAGATTGATAACCGCCTCTGCTACCAGGCATCAGACAAGTGCTTCCCTGATGCAGTCAGTGCTGCTGACTACCTTGCTGCCCTGTCAGCCGTCGAGCGCCTGGAGTTCCCGTATCCCCTCAAGTCTGTGAAAGGTGAAAGTCCTCCCTTGTGGGTGGGTGGGGGGCAGTTGGAGATCTCTGGGTTATGCCTCCTATGCTTTCCACGGATGGCACATTCCAAATCTAATTGCAGCAATTTCCACATCCTGCTAGAGGTGGAGTCTTTGCCCTGCTGGCTCTGTGGCATGGACTTTCTTCCAGAACTTGTCGTTAGGGACAAGTGCTTCCCTGATGCAGTCAGTGCTGCTGACTACCTTGCTGCCCTGTCAGCCGTCGAGCGCCTGGAGTTCCCGTATCCCCTCAAGTCTGTGAAAGGTGAAAGTCCTCCCTTGTGGGTGGGTGGGGGGCAGTTGGAGATCTCTGGGTTATGCCTCCTATGCTTTCCACGGATGGCACATTCCAAATCTAATTGCAGCAATTTCCACATCCTGCTAGAGGTGGAGTCTTTGCCCTGCTGGCTCTGTGGCTTTCTTCCAGAACTTGTAGTTAGACCTACTGTTCTGTTGGCTCTTTTTCTCCTCCAGTCTTGTCTGCTTCTAAGACGCTGAAACACCCTAAGTGCTGTTCCCAAGGTGGTCCCTGAGGGCTCTTGCAAAGCACTAACTACTATGCAGACCTCAGTTGGAGGCTGTGTGGTCCCATAGCACAATCCTCTCACTCTCTTGTGCCCCAGACCTGAGATGCAGGCAAAGGTCCTTTTCTCCTCTGAGGAGAGGACTCTTACTGTGTTCCTCAGTGGCGGTAGCCACTGAATCTACTGCCCCCTCACCACCAAGGTATTGGCAGTGTGAAGGGCCTGAATGTTTCACTCCCAGCCACAATTAGGTCATATTTATTTACTTCCTTAGACTCAAGGTGAATTACAAAATTTTAAAAAATCAATCAGATAACAAGGACTTTCAATAAACAGTGGAGTAGGACTAGGATTAGGGATGGACATGAACCAAGAAAATGTGGTTCAGTTTGTGGTGAATTTTTAGCCACCAAATGAACTGGTTCTATTCATGAGGTTCGTGACACGGTAGAACACACACACGTGGTGTGCTAGAGACACCAAACTCACAGGGGATCTCAAGGTGACTCTCCTCTACCCGCCCTCCAGGTTTGGGGAGGATTGGATTTACGGAGTCTGAGTTAAGGCCCCCTAAAGAAAGAAAAATCCACGGAAATCAAGACCAGATGGGAGATCTACTTAGACTGGATGCTGAAAGAAAGAAGGAAGGACATTCAGTGGAAGATTAAGACTCTGTGCCCTTGGCTGGGGGGAAAAGACTATGACTAAAAGAGAGGGAGGGAGGAAAGGGGAGAAAATGTAAATAACTATAAATACTCAAGGTAACAGACTAAACAAACAATAAAAAAAATAATAATAAAAAAGAAGAAGTTCAAACACTCTCTTCATTTCCTATAAAACTACTGGTATGGGGGAGTTTCCCCCAAAAAAATTAACCATTGCCAGTCTTCTGTCTCTTTTGAGAATTACTTCATATTCTGCTAGTGGAGCTGTTCCCTTTTTCTACAGATGCTCCTCTAGTGGAGTTATGTAGGGTAGCTACCTGGCCATTCCCCTCAGCTTTCATGAGACATTATGAGTTAGATTCTTGTGCTTCTGCTACATCTGCCTTTGGCAGACGTGTCCTCCAGTAGGTTTTACCCCAAGCTCCCTCCTGGGAAGACACCGTTTTTCATAATGCGTTCAAGGATACCTTCCTGTGCTGGTGGAGAACAACTTTGTGAATGTTTCTTCTCATCAGTGGATTGGGAAGTCTCCTTTTCCTCCTGTTTTTCTTTTGAGAATTACTTCATATTCTGCTAGTGGAGCTGTTCCCTTTTTCTACAGATGCTCCTCTAGTGGAGTTATGTAGGGTAGCTACCTGGCCATTCCCCTCAGCTTTCATGAGACATTATGAGTTAGATTCTTGTGCTTCTGCTACATCTGCCTTTGGCAGACGTGTCCTCCAATAGGTTTTACCCCAAGCTCCCTCCTGGGAAGACACCGTTTTTCATAATGCGTTCAAGGATACCTTCCTGTGCTGGTGGAGAACAACTTTGTGAATGTTTCTTCTCATCAGTGGATTGGGAAGTCTCCTTTTCCTCCTGTTTTTTTTTTTGCTGTCTGAGACTATTGGGTATTCAAATAAGCAGTTATTTAAAGTCTTCTTTATCTGCCTTTCACTTAACACCTCTCGTTTTCTATAACAGTTCTTACAGTGTTCTGTCTACTGTTTCACTGAGTTTTTTCTTCAGTGTTTATACCTTAGTAGCTCTGCAGGCCATGAACTGGGGGTCTGCCTCCAGATGTCTTTGCAATTAAATTGACATATACCCTGTCTGTGGAATGAGTAGGAGGCATAACCCATTCAAGAATATCTTCCAAGTCAGTTCACAGATGAGAAGAAACCTTCATGGTGAATCCAATATTGGATTCCCCCACCCTGAATTGCAAATAGGATGTCTAGTAAAATGCTGTAGCAAGTGGTTAACATTCTTGAATTTGGTGATGTTGTTACTACAGGTGAAAAGCTGTCATCTGGGGAAGTACCTTTCAACCTAGTGCCATTGCTGGTGGTAGCAGCTTTGATCCTCCTGGTGATCCTCGTGCTGGGTGTGTTGGTGGCACGGCGCAAAAGAGAGCACAGCACCCTTTGGTTTCCTGAGGGTTTTGGCCTGAAGAAAGAGAGTAGCAACAAGAACCGGCGTGAACCTGTGGGCCAGGATGCCTTGGGCATGAAGTAAGGAGGTGCTTCCCCACACTGAGGTGCTGCCCAAAATCTGTCCTCAGTCACTCAGTTGGTTTGTGGCTACTTTGAGGAGGGACTGTGGCACAGTGGGAGAGGTTCAATCCCTGGCATCTTTAGTTAAAAGGATATGAGATAGTAGTTGATCTGGGTGTCAATGAGGTACTGCCAGTACTGACAATATTTTAGCACCAAGGGTCTGATTCAGTATAAGGCAGCACCCAGTGTTCAGAGAACAGGCAGCCACAGAGTTCTTTTATTGCATTTCCAGTAGTAGTACTTCAGTTAGGTAATAGAGAAATGTTTCCCTGAGTAGAATGGTGCAAGGGGCATAGACCAGAATTCCTCTGTGTAGGTTCTGAACTGCTAAGGATTCATTCTATATCCTCCTCCCCCTGCAGGAGTATTGGCAAAGAGGAGAACCTAATAGGGGATAACTCAGAAGACTGGCTAGAAGCAGAGTGCCCAGAGGCCAAGCGACTGAAGGTACTGCCTGTTTTTACCTGGACTGAAAACATGAATCACAAAAGGAATTCCAGTTCATCTTTGGAGCTGGCCCACTTCTTCCTTCCTGTATACTCAAGTCCATGCACTGTTTTTTCTCTTATTCCCTTCACATGCTGTCTTGGACCTAGTACTTTTGGTATCCCCCAGTAATGAGAGTGTAAGTAGTTCAATGCAGCAGGTGAACAGACGCCTCTTCATAGCAACTGTGTGTCTGTATTCTTTCCTACCAGGTGGAAGAACCAGCCATAGACTGTGAAGACCCAGTGGATTGCCGTCAGTGGACACAGCATCACTTGGTGGCAGCAGACATCCGCATGCCACCCTCTATGGCCCTGACACCACCTCAGGGCGAGTTTGATACAGACTGCATGGATGTTAATGTCCGTGGGCCAGGTAAGTGGGGACAGGGGGTGCTGTACAGAGACCACAAGCTCTAGTTTGTAGTGCAATCAGTGCATACTGGGGAATGTAGTCTTTGTAGATGACATCTAATAAGTTTGACTTCCTTTCTAATTGAAGAAGTTTAGCATTAATTGCTCCACGCTAGATATATAATATTGTGAGAGGAGGAGAGTGGCTCTCTTCTTTGTCTCCCAATCCCTTATTGAGATCTCCTTTTTTCTAGATGGTTTCACCCCTCTTATGTTGGCCTCCTTTTGCGGCGGCGGCATGGAAAATGATCTGGCTGAGGAAGAAGAAACAGATGACTCCTCTGCCAATATAATCTCTGACCTAATCTGCCAGGGGGCTAACCTGAGTGCCCAGACTGACCGCACAGGAGAGACTGCACTGCATTTAGCTGCCAGATATGCACGAGCAGATGCTGCCAAGCGTTTGCTTGATGCTGGGGCTGATACCAATGCACAGGACAACACAGGGCGTACACCGCTGCATGCTGCTGTGACTGCTGATGCCCAGGGAGTTTTCCAGGTAAGCCGTCCTTGCTCTGCATCCGTCCTACATTCTGTGGATCAGAGGAGTCTTTGCTAGAACCTTAGAGTTGTTTTCTGTGTCACTGTCATGGTCCTGGGCCTATAGTAGTGCAGCCTACAGGCTCTAGGGAGGCCTAGCAACTCTAGGGAAGCCTATACTAGAGTAGCTATCAGGGCTTACATTTCCCAGGTCACCCTTTGGAACCTGTGATTGCCTAACGGGATTTGGAGGGAATCTTACTACTAGAATAGTAGTAGGTGTTGCCAAGGAATAAGTGATAAAAGGCTTTGCCCAAAGTGGGAGGTGGTTCACTCCTAGGTAGCAGACCTGGTCTTGAAGCTGCTGCAGATGGAGGGATCCCTCATCCAAAAGGGATGAGTCATCTTGAGGCCAAATACCTAGAGAAGGCTAGGTACAGTATAGTCAAATGCGTTAGGGTTTTTTAATTTGCTGGTTTACCTACCTTTTACTTTGCTCCCTACATGTTCTTGGATTATAGTTGTTGTTAAATCTACTGGGAAAGGAGTATATAAAGAGGTAGGGTGGGTGCCCTGGGCCCTCCCGAGGAGTTCCATACCAGAGTGGTGGCATCCATTAGAGAACTTTTCTAGCCGCTGCCCACAACAGTTACCCATTTGTTTTTTGCTGTGGGCCGACCTTTCTAGCCGCTGCCCACGACAGTTACCCATTTGTTTTTTTCCTGTGGGCCCCACAGAAAAGTAGTGGCAATACTTCCCATTGAGACTTGTAGCTGAGAAGATCTGAATTGTAGTGGGCCTCATAGCACTGGGGTGTGTGTGTGCGCACGGGTACACATCCCCTTGAGGGGTATTTTAGCACCTCTCCTCTCTAATGCCTCACTACTGTTACCAGATCTTGATCCGGAATCGATCGACAGACTTGGATGCCCGAATGGGGGATGGTTCAACTGCACTGATCCTGGCAGCCAGGCTGGCTGTAGAGGGCATGGTGGAGGAACTGATTGCCTGCCATGCTGATGTCAATGCTGTGGATGAGCTGGGTATGTGAACTGGTTTATTCCAGAGCCCGGGTGGCAGTCAGGCTCAGCCCTTTGCTTGGCTGTTCTCTGTTAACGTCCTCTGCCATACCTTTTCAGGAGACGTCCTCTTAACTACATGTGCCACGGCAAGCTTCTTTCACATTGACTCCATATGTTCATGCGCACAGACTTGTTTCCTAGGGGTTGTATCCAGACTAAAATCTCTGCTCACGCAAGGCACTTTTGTCACTGGAACACAAAGTTCCTGCCTTCACTTTTCTGCTGCAGCCCATTGATCACCCCAAAATTCCTGCTTCGGGCGGGGGGGGGTGAGGGCGGGGATTCTTGGGAACAGCGTGACAGGCAAATTGGGGGCTCGCCGCCAGGAGAGAAAATTGATGGGACTTACCCTGCTTTTTTGGCAGCAGAAATTCATTGATCACCCCAAAATTCCTGCTTCGGGGGGGGGGGTGAGGGTGGGGATTCTTGGGAACAGCGTGACAGGCAGATTGGGGGCTCGCAGCCAGGAGAGAGAATTGATGGGACTTACCCTGCTTTTCTGGCAGCAGAAATCTGAATCTGGATCCAACCCTACATCCCCAGTCTACCAGAAGGAAGTTACTTATCTGCTCCTGCTTTGATGTATTTTGATGATGATGACGAGGGCCTTGCTTGGCCACAGCTGCTGTGTTTACTGGGCCCTGTGTGCACCCAGACAGGAGGGAGGGAGGACAATAGGACAATTCCTCCTGCTACAGAAATGCCTTGGTCTCCAGTGAACTGGATATGATTCTGGGCTAGGAGGCTATAGTGTGCAGGAACCTTTTGGGGCTATTCCTCTTGGTGCTGCTGGGAACTTCATAACTGCTTGGGGTCTGCTTGGATGTCTGTCTCAGAAGAAGGGCAATTCCTTTCACTGGGGGGGTGATTCTAGTCTGGAGGAGATTGATGGGAGGCATGAAAGAGACTGGCGTGATAGCGGGGAGGGAGGTGTTCACTGAGGAGCAGGAGGTTAGAAGGCTTCTGGTGGGGTCTGAGAATCATCGGCAAGGGAGGAATTATGGTGTTCTCTCTCTGTCTCAGGTAAATCAGCCCTGCACTGGGCAGCAGCGGTCAACAATGTAGAGGCCACAATTGCACTGCTGAAGAACGGGGCCAACAAGGATATGCAGGACAGCAAAGTAAGTTTTTCACTGTGCTCATTTCCTTCTCACCTTCACCCGTCTCCTGTAGTCAGGAGGGCCCTGCTCATTCCTGCCCTCAGCAGGACAGTTTCTTTCTATGGTTGTAAATGCATCCTTGCTAGCCCTAATGGATAAGGTTTAGGAAATAAGGGAACAGCTGCACAAGCTCTGTCTCTGCCCCTGCTCTTGAGCTCCTGCGGTATGTGCCCATCAATCTGTCCTCTTTCTGTTAGGAGGAAACACCACTGTTCCTGGCGGCCCGGGAAGGCAGCTATGAAGCAGCCAAAATCCTGCTGGATCACTTCGCCAACCGTGAGATCACAGACCACATGGATCGGCTGCCGCGAGATGTCGCTCAGGAGCGCCTGCACCATGACATTGTCCGGCTTCTGGATGACTACAACACTGTGCGCAGCCCACAAGGGGCGCTGCCTTCCGGCCACACCCTATCCCCTCTTATGTGCCCTCCCAATAGCTTCTTGCCCAGTCTCAAGCCCACTCCCCAGGGCAAGAAGAGCCGACGGCCTAGCGCCAAGAATGCGACAGCAGGCAGCAGTGCCAGCCTGGCACGAGAGAGCAAAGAGGCCAAGGCACGTGGCAAGAAGCTCAACCTGGAGTGCCAAGGTGCTCTCCTGGAGAGCTCTGTCACCCTGTCCCCCGTTGACTCACTGGACTCCCCATATGTGCCCAATCCTGCCTCGCCTGGGGTCTTTCACACGGCCAGTGCCTCATTGTCAGTGCCCTCCACTCCCATGGTTCATGGCATGATGGAGGCACCCTTTGCTGTCAGTTTGGCACGCCTCAGCGATCTAGGAGATGGCACTCTTCTCTCCATGAACCGCCTCTCAGTGCCACCTGGCCGTATGGGGCTCAGCCTGGGGATGGTAAGCCCTGTGGCAATGCCTTTTGACTGGCATGCCCGTGTGCCCACTTCCCAGTGCCAACCAATCATTGGAGTAGTACACCCTGCTGCTTCCCATCCTAACCTGCACCAGCCAGGCCAGGCCTTCCCACCAGGCCTTCTTCTGCCTAGCCATATGGCCATGGGGCACAGCTCCCAGGGGTTGCCAAACCCACCTCCTGCATCAACCAAGGAGCCAACCCAACCCATGCCCCCACCAGCCACTGCCATACGTACCAACCAACCTGTCTCACCCCAGGAGGGCCAGGGGGCACCACGTGCAGGGCCCCCACAGTACTTAAAGGCAGCAGGGGTGGAGGATTACCCAACCCCACCGTCTCAACATAGTTACACGCAGGGGCAGGATGCAACACCCAAGCACTTCCTCCACCTGCCTAGCGAGCACCCCTACCTGACCCCCTCCCCAGAGTCCCCAGAGCAGTGGAGCAGCCCCTCCCCTCACTCCTTGTCTGATTGGTCTGAGTCTACACCCAGCCCTTCAGTCCTGGGGCCCAGCCACACCCAGCTTGCTGTGGCTGAGCCATCCACTAAGATGCAGGTGTTTGCATGAGAAGCTAGATGGCGGAGCAGATCCCGGGGGCCTGTGGCCCTCTGTGGCCCCCATTGGGGCCTGTGCCTGCCTCAGGGGATCTGTTCCCCACTTTGTGTTTTTTATAAAAAAAAAACTTAAGTGTAAAAAGATTTTACAAAAAAAATTTTTTTGCCTGCTCTGGGAGGGGAAAGGCATGGCCTCCCCATTCCCTCACTGCCACAGAGTCTAGGCCAGCTCTCTGCCCCATCCCCTAGTGCCATGGCAACTAGGTTTCCGGGGAGTTCTTTTTTTAAAAAAAGAGAAAAAAAAGTAAACCCCTTTTGTATAAACTCTGCATTTACTCAAACGCTTTATTTTTTACAATGTATTCACTGTCATGCCTTGTTGTGGTACTCTTCTGTCTTGGTGGGTCTTGAGTGGTGAAGACTGAAGAGAGAAAATGCACCCCTTGCTCTTCCCTCTGCATGGTGCTGCCTCTTGGGTTGAGCCCCGGCTTCCCCCTCACTGTGTTGGGGGTGGGATTCTGCTCACTGTATTTGTGTACTGGGTACACAGCATTAGCCCAGACTGACACTGCCGTGCAGAGGACAGAGCCTCAAACGTGCCCCCCTCAACCCCACCTCCTCCTCCTCCATACTTGGCACTTCGTCACATTCCAGGTTAATTTATTCATTTTAAATTCTGCAGCATTCCCCCCTTCTCCCGATCCCCCTTGAAGTCCTCCATTTCGGGAGCTGCTTCAGCTAATGCTAGCCATGATCATGGGGGTTTCCCAGTCTCCAGGGTATTCTGAGCCACTCTGCGTTTTTTATGCCTGGCCCCTACCTCCTCTGGTCTGAATCTGCCTTCAGCCTAAGTTAGATGTTGTTTCCTGTATGGCAAATGACTTGCCGTGTGGTACTATGGGATCTTGGGGGCAGCCGCCATCACCGTGTGCTTTGTTTTGGCTTGAAAGGTACTGAGAGAATACAAAATAATCTCTCCCTGAGACTTCCAGCCCAGCAGTCAACTACCTATTTTTCTCACTTCCTGCCTCCCCCCCCCCACCCCGTGCCCTGTACATTCCAGCTGTTCTTGGCTGTAAATACTGCAGTTGGGAGCCGCGGCTAGATGGGACCTCAGTTCAGTGTGGCCTGCTGCTCCCCCCTCCCTTCTCATGCTGTGTAGCATAGTGGGGGAATGGCCCCGCAGCATTCACCCCTCTTTCATAGAAGGACCATTTCTAGCTCATTTTAAACCTTTTTTAAAAAAAAATAAAAATAAAAATCCAGTGTATACCAAGTAGCTTTAAAGCAGCTGGGTGCTTCATGTACAGAGCGGCTTGAGCCGCGGCATAATAAACATAGCTAATAAGGAAATGGCCTCTGCTTCCTCCATGTGTCTTCTGTCTTATTTGATTGATTTATTCGAACACGGGGCTGGAGCTGTTATGTGAAAAATATAAACAGATAGTCCACTAGACACAACTGGAATTCAAAAAAAGATTGCTGCCTTGGAACAAAAGCAGATTGGCTCGGACGGATGGATAGGCCTGTACAATCTGCATTGGTGGCCTGTTATTCCTTTCCTTCAGGCAGTCCTTTTGACAGCATCTCTGACTTGCCATGAGAACTTGCTGGGTTCTACGGCACACAAGCAGCTCATATACAGTGCTGGCCAGGCCTTCCTGTCTTTGCTGTTGTCCTCTAAAGCCAAGGACACACCAGCCACACTTTGGAACAGTCCAGATGCATCCTCTGTATTTAAAGTGCAAGTAATAATGAAAAAAATGCTTTGCTGTCTCAGCTGTGAGAGATTAAAACTGTGCTTGCAGTGCAACCTTATACAGAGTTACTCCAGGCTAAGTCCATTGACCCTGTTGGACTTATACCGGTGTAACTGCATAAGACTGCACAGCTTTCTCCCTAGAGACACTTAGGCTGTGGTCACACACACTAAATAATCCACTTTCAATGCACTTTCCAACTGGATTTTGCCAGTTCACACAATAAAATCCCATTTGAAAGTACACTGAAAGTGAAAGCAACACTCACAGGGTTGGTGCGAAGATAAAATAATGAGAGGAGAATGGTGGAAGCTGCTTTGAGTCCCCTTTAGGGAGAAAGGTAAAGGTTCCCTTGCTCGAAAGCCAGTCGAATCCGACTCTAGGGTTGCGGTGCTCATCTCTGTTTCCAAGCCGAAGAGCCAGCGCTGTCTGAAGACGTTTCCGTGGTCATGTGGCCGGCATGACTAAACATCAAGGCGCACGGAACGCTGTTACCTTCCCACCGAAGTGGTACCTATTTATCTACTTGCAATTTCTTGCTTTCGAACTGCTAGGTTGGCAGGAGCTGGAACTAGAGAAAGGAGCTCACCCTGTCTTGCGGCACCCGGGTCTTGAACCGCTGAACTACTGACCTTCCACAGCCTGCAGTTCAGTGTCTTAACAACTTGAGCCACCGCAGCTCCCTTAGGGAGAAAGGCAGGTGTTAAATGAAGGTAAAACAAAACTGGATCTACATTTTACTGCTGTTCAGAAAGGACTGATAATTAACAATGGATACCATGGCTGGAGAGAAAGAATGAAGTTGGAAGCTGAAGAAATACATATATGTTCAGTAGCTCTGAGAAACCTCAATAGTACTTTGTCTGCATTAGGTAGCCTGGACCTACAATTATGCGTGTATAGAACTGCCACAAATCAGTTCTGAAACCAAGACAACCATAGTAAGACACTGGAATGCAACGGGCTATTTATTTATTTATAGTCAAATTTATACCCTGCTCTCCCTGCAAAGCAGGCTCAGGGCGGCTTCCAACAACAAATACGACAATGCAGAATAAAAGCATAAATAATACAGAATTAAAACACAACATTTAAATTAGTACATTACAAAATTGCAGAATACTGGCGGCAGTTAAAAATCAAACAAATGAGATGCTTTCAAATGAAAGTACTTCGATGTTATCCCCTGTGAAGTGTTTAGATGTTATTGTGCTTGTTCTTGAGGCAGCTGCTCGATGTCAGCAGTTGCCAGCAGTGCTGTCTAGATTCTCTGTAGAAACTGAACGAACCAATGATGTCAATTCCACAAAAAATGGCTTGTGTGAAAGTAACCTTAGATATCATCCCCACAAACCTCTGTTCTGTATCAGAATCCTTGAACTAATGAGAGAGACTACAGAAATCTAAACTTGATTTCCAAATGAACAGAGGCTTGTATTTAATGAACCACAGGAAAGAAGATGCATGGGTTTGCTCCATGTTCCTCTTCTCCCCATGTTCCAGTTCTCCTGCCCTCCATTCTGACAGAAAAGGGAGGTGAGCACTTTTATCCCTTTCCTCTCCTTGCAGCAGGCCCCCTGGCCCACACAGTTGTCCTGGTGGGTCCTGCAATCTCAAAAATAATCTTCCTGGGGTCAAAAGGGACTGCCGATGGAGGGGGGGGGTGAGAAATGGAGAGAACATACTGTTCCAATGGTGGTTCATTGAATATAAACCAGAAGATGGGGGGTTTTTTTGAGTTGGAGAAACGATTCCAATACCTTCAAAGCTGGGGCTTCTCTACACTTGCAGTTTACTGGGGTTAACCTGAGTTACATGAATGTGTGGTGGTATCGTGTGGTTCCACCAAATGAGGACCTAGGAACTGTAATACTGAAACCACACTGGAAAATGGGATGGTTTTAACAACAGCAAAAACCTGTATCAAATGAAAGCTCCAGCACTGTAGAAATTTGAATTGGCCACAACTTTGTGCCCACTTGTGACTTTTACCTTTCCATTTCAATAGAAGACGTATGTTCCTGGATGAACTTGCTTTCCACCTGGCTCTTGGTTTCCCCTCCCTCCCTCGTTTTTCACTTTAGCATCAGCCTTGCCATGATAATTTGCAATCAGGATGCCAATCTGACTTTCCAAATAATCAGGTATGCAAAATTTTCCCATGGCAAGCATTTTTCAAAAAAGTTAGTTTAAGAAAGTGATGAAAAACCAAGTGCTATTTAAACATGAATTACTTAACATGACAGTTTAATTAACCTGGATTAATGCAGTGGGGGAATATGCCTAAGATATTAGAACAAAAGGCAAAACAAATAATAAAATTAATATGACAATAATGTTCAGAGTACTTCACCTTATCACCATCATTCTCACAACGGCTGTGCCAAGTAGGCAGCAGCATAGAAGGCAACAAGGAAATAAGGTTGTTGGGTCTCAGCCTGGAGACTTTTCCTGGCATTCAGAGTACAGAAGCAGCAAAGGGGGGGGGGGCACCATCTGATACGTGGTTCCAGTGATAGTGTTGAAACGGGAATTATCTCAGTGACAGTCCCTTGCTTTGAAGGAGGGACCATCACAACAGCTTCGTCTAAGGGATTCTATTGTTCTGTAGATGGGACTAAGAGCAGCTTCTCTTTCAGAAGCTTATTAAGTCTTAGCATGTTACTGGAAATCCCCTGCATGTGCTTTGCCTGTGCACATATTTTTAAAATTGCATCTTCCAACTCTCACAATCTGCTGCAGAACAAGGAGCCAATTTGTATTCTCACTTCTGGATATACCAACCAGTGGTTTATGGGCATGGTGTGTTTGTGTGGGTAGGTGACATCTCTAACATAAAGAATAAAGTAGCCTACTTAGCTATTCTCATGTAGCCTGATTGATTAGCCCAGGGTTTAATATCTGGAAACCACATAAAAGCAAACCCCACTTTGTAACTGGAATACCTTCAAACTGGCTTTATATGATTGTCTCCAGCTCCCAACTACCCCTCCCCCATATAAGTAATTTTGAAAAGGTTTTACAATGTATAAAACTTGCATCAAGCCCCCCCCCCCCAGATGTGGGAGGTAGCATAACCACTCTTTGGACGCAGGCCCTTTTGTTGTTGCTATTTAGGTTTTCCAATTCAAGAGGCAGTGAGGGTGTGGTCCTGGCAAGGAGGCCAAGGCCAGGGCTTTATTATTTGCACCCCTCACCCTGGAACATTACAGGCCAAGCATTTGGCTGTGGGCATTGCTACGCCTTTTCCATACAACCCTCCAAAACTTTTTGGACAGTTCTGAAGAAGATGCAGAGAGTGAACTTTGCCACCTGATGATTAGTGGTGGATGCAAGGATCAAAGGCTCTCCATGAGGCTGGGTCCTTTTTCTATGCATGGGCTGCACCTGCTGTTTCAAGTCAAAAAGATGCCTTGGGAAGAAGTGGAATAATCTACTCAAATAATAAATAATACGGTAAGAGAACTTCAAAGCAGTTGTTTAAGCTGGCACTCCTTCCATGGCTACTGATGGTTCTCTCCATAAAATCTTTTGCAGACAGTCTCCACTCAAAGAACAGAGTTCTATTGTTTGCATCGACTGCGAATGTGGCAGTATAGTTGGTTGGTTCCTTTGTGCTCACAAACACATTTCAGAGGGCCCTATGGCACCTCATCTGGGAAAGGTGAGAAATGTCCATGGAGCTTACCTGAGTATACCGTGTCCATTTTTAAGATGTTCTTTATGGTTAGAGAATGATCATGCTCCAAAAGGGCAGCAAAATTCTGCTTTTCCTTTTAGGTCAACCAATCCCTGATGTTAGTTCTTCCTGAGTCCAGTGGCACCTTTAAGACAAACAAAGTTTTATTCTTGGTATGAGCTTTTGTGTGCATGCACAGAATAAAACTTTGTTGGTCTTAAAAGTGCTGCTAGACTCCAACTTTGTTTGGCTGCTTCAGACCAAAACGGCTACCACCTGAATCTTAGTTCCTCCTGTTTTGTGAATTTTTTCTAGTGCTGCTCACAACAGTTGCTCACCACTGAGTGGCAGCAGAGATAATAAAGTCTCCAACTCCGAATGTTCTAAACTACTGTACTGAGTTTAGTGTATTACTTAAGTACATAAATAAAATAACAAATAACACTATTGTTCAATAATTTAGAGTCTCACGGCACCTTAAAAACAAACCAATTTATTGTGGCATAAAGTTTTGTGGGACAGAATTTACTTTGGGAGAGGTGTGAAGGGGGTCATCTAAGTACCAAAACAGACACTGCACAAGTCTGATCTTCATCAGCCTGCAAAAACTGAATTGCACACACAGCCACAGTTTGGAGTGAGGCTACACATGCAAGCAATAAGGGAATTAACCCTCCAACCTCTGCTTGGTTCACAAATCAAAACTGAGCTCCCCACACTTTTTAGTAGTTTTACAGGGAGAAAAAGATGTGCCCTTTTAAAAATGTTCTCGTTGAAATGCTAATAACAAAGGGGAAAGCCTGGTTTTGATTAATGAAATCAAGCTAGGGTAGAAGGGATAGATCCCCCATCCCTTTTCTGTGTGGGCCATGTCTGAATTCCAGATGCACAGGGGCGCAATTTACTTTTTAAGA